CCCCCCCCCCCCCTCTCTCCCTTTTTTTTCCAACTCCAAATACCCAAAGCATTTGATACAAAAATTTCAGAGCATAACTGAGGACCAAAGCTCTCCTTATCATCTAGACAACTTATTATATTCTTCAGTGGCATCATCTACACAAATTATTTATTTGGAAACCAAACATCAGGAGTAAACTTCCAACCACTTACCAACTTATGGTGTAAGTGTACTGCCAAATTGCTACCCAACAAATGATGAATACATCTAGCAGAAATTTAAATTCTTTTTTATTCCTCTGTATCAGGTATTTCTGAAGGCCAAAACCCAATCAACTGTCGGTGTGTTCTCTCATCTCGCCGACAGACGCTCTGTTCTCTCATCTAAACCATCATTAGAATTAGGGGTTTAGGGTTTTGCACCGCTTGGGTAGTGCGCCGTTTGAAGTCTCTTTTGCGAGCAGTATTTGGGCTTTCTTTGTCATTCATGATCTGACTAAGATTATCGGCATCATAGTTTTTCATACCGCCGACCATATTCGATATTTTGAAAGCGCAAAGGAACTCCAGAATCTCAAGGAATGATAAGAGTCAGAGAGCTAAGAGAAAATAAATCTACAATCTCACACAAGCAGCTCTAAAGATCCCATCAGCAAATTCTTTGGCAGCCCTCCCACTTCAAAGTTTCCACTTATTGCATCTAGAGTTGAAGCCACTTCGGTACCCAAAAATTGGACAGAAGATTCAACTGTCATGAATTTATAAAGGCTGTTATGCTTTTGGACAAATAATGGTGAACCNTTGCATCTAGAGTTGAAGCCACTTCGGTACCCAAAAATTGGACAGAAGATTCAACTGCCATGAATTTATAAAGGCTGTTATGCTTTTGGACAAATAATGGTGAACTNGCTCATTTTTAGAGTAGAAGAATATACAGTTAACACAAATCAGATCTGTACTGCCACTTAATCTTTGTTGGTGTCAAGACTATGGAACTTCTAAACAAATGTACACCTATGACAAAGCAGAATTGTAAGTTCACTAGTTATAATATTGGGATTGGCTCAACGATATGTTTTCAATTCCAAAAAGATGTCACATGATCAAAGTTGCCAACCTCTAGAGGCTATCCCCCAGTGTATACCCGGAATTACAAGCTACAAGTGGGACCGAGAGACTGAATGTCACCGGTAGGATTTTGTGGCTGCTCTAAGGGGAACCGATAGCCTGTGCCACAGGCTATGAAGTGATAAAAAAAATACAATTGCTTCAAGGCCTTGTCCTTCCACATGTCAAATGGTTACTACATAAAAAGATGGTGTCTAGTTCAACAAAAGGCTAGAATTTGACAAATTGACACAACCAGCATAATCAACATTTCATGTCACCATCAACATTTTCTTCTTAAATCTCAGGTCTACATGCCTAAACAAGGGAATTGTAAATAAAAAAAATGGAGATAATGGGAGATTCCCTGGCAATTACTGGCCATAACAAATGATTGATAAATCCAAAAAAGTACAAAAAGACAAAATACAGATTCTACAATCTGTAACTATCCACAAAAGAGGATTGCGTATATTTAGAAACAAGTAATCATGAAAGAGGATAAGCAGCCTTCTTCTAAAAAGTTGTGCCAACTGTATCTCTTTTAAACTAAAATTTAGAAATAGGCCATAACCCATGGCCCATGAAAACTTTCCATCCTTTTCCTGCTGGCAGAGAAACAAATCCACTTTGTGAGTTCAAATTAGAGGAGTGNTCTACACAAATTATTTATTTGGAAACCAAACATCAGGAGTAAACTTCCAACCACTTACCAACTTATGGTGTAAGTGTACTGCCAAATTGCTACCCAACAAATGATGAATACATCTAGCAGAAATTTAAATTCTTTTTTATTCCTCTGTATCAGGTATTTCTGAAGGCCAAAACCCAATCAACTGTCGGTGTGTTCTCTCATCTCGCCGACAGACGCTCTGTTCTCTCATCTAAACCATCATTAGAATTAGGGGTTTAGGGTTTTGCACCGCTTGGTTAGTGCGCCGTTTGAAGTCTCTTTTGCGAGCAGTATTTGGGCTTTCTTTGCCATTCATGATCTGACTAAGATTATCGGCATCATAGTTTTTCATACCGCCGACCATATTCGATATTTTGAAAGCGCAAAGGAACTCCAGAATCTCAAGGAATGATAAGAGTCAGAGAGCTAAGAGAAAATAAATCTACAATCTCACACAAGCAGCTCTAAAGATCCCATCAGCAAATTCTTTGGCAGCCCTCCCACTTCAAAGTTTCCACTTATTGCATCTAGAGTTGAAGCCACTTCGGTACCCAAAAATTGGACAGAAGATTCAACTGTCATGAATTTATAAAGGCTGTTATGCTTTTGGACAAATAATGGTGAACCGTCCATCACATGTCAAAGTAAGGGTATATATGAAAATTCATCAATAACAATCGCCAACTAAGTCGCTGCCTTCTAGCACAAGAATAAATCACAATAACAATACACATCCCCATTTCATCATTTCAATAGCGCACTCTAGAATCCAGAGTGCCTTGTGACATACCCTTGATACAGGGACTGCTACTAAGGCCATAGCATTCCCTGAATGAACAATAATATCAGAAGCTAAGCTCAAGATGAACATCGCCACACAAAAAGTAACATGATCATGATGTCATTGTGAATTCCTATGTGAAAAAGGAATTATAGAGGGACTTCAGCAAATCGAAAAGTGGGATCTCTACAGATCACTATCATTTGCTCTCCTTGCAGCTGTTCTTATACAATGGATTGTGGAAGGAACAGAGAATTTTTAAAAGAATATCCTTCTCCTGTTGCTCAGAAAGATCAAAAGTGCCTGCAACGTAATACCATTTAGATTCAGATGAAATGCAAAGAATGGAAGGCTGATTAGCTATCTACCAAACCGTGCTCCTACAAATGGCTATCAAGTAATTCTCGTTAGGGAGAAAACAAGAGAGACAACAAAATGTCCGTCACCAATTTTGAAAGAAATTTGCGAAAACATAAATGCTAGGGAGTCTCAGCATGAGATTGTTTCAAATGCTTGGTAAAAGGGTCTTAGATCCCCAAAGAAGATGAGGAGATTCAGCACCAAGTCAACTGACGAGATCAAAAAATGTCACATAGTACTTAATACCTGGAAGATGTGGGGAATATCTTCGGAGGAATCTATATGCTTTGAAAAACTGGGGAAAGGGTTGTAGAGAGAAGCTTCGATGGAGAATAGACACTCACCGATAAATGCTGATAAACCACAGTCTAATATCTCCAAGAATTTGATGTTTGAGCATGTCTCAAAATAGAAACATGTGTAACAGATAAGAAAG